GGTCTTCTAACTCCATTTGGGACTTGTTGCACTATTCTCTAAGTTGTGCTTACATGTTGAGTTTGTATGTGCTTTATTATCATCAAAACTCAAGTACTTAACCTTTGTAGCCTTAGGGTCCAACACTTTTGTTAGAATAGGAAGTTTTGAATTTGAAATATTGTTGAAAATGTATTTTTGAATTACTGTTTGTAACAAAAGAGTTTGTTTAGAGAACTGTTAGAGGATTTTTAGGCTTGAGATTTATTCTGTTATAGATGACTTATGTATAAATACACCTCAATTGAAGAGGAAAAATATGAATGAATAGAAAGTATTTTTGGTATTCAGATTGTTGACATGGTATCAGAGCACCTTACCTCTTGCGCCTCTCCTCCCTGCCTCCACCGTCGCTGATATTGTCCAGACCCACTCCTCCATGGCCCGCATGCGACTGTATATTTTCTTGTGTGGATTAGACTCAGACTTTGCTCAGGTCCGAGGGGAAATACTTCGAAAGGATCCCAAATTGGATCTTGAAGGAGCTTATGCCTTCCTACGCCGTGAATATCAACGACGACTCACAATGAGTCGACCAACCTCTACAACGGATTCTTCTGCTCTGGTCTCCCAAGTTTCTCGCTTCTCCACCACTACCCCTGCTCAAAAAACCCGCAAGGATACATCCACCAGCAAACCATTTCTTTGCAGTCACTGTGGAGATTCTGGACACTCCAAGAGCCGCTGCTACGAACTCATTGGATATCCCGACTGGTGGGATTTCAATAAGAAACCACGAAGGAAAATTCTGAACAAAGCACTGCGTCCCTCCTCTGATACAGGGCCTCCTCCTACAGCAAATGCAGTCTACGAAGGAATTCTAGGTAAGTCTCATGCTTTCTCTACATTATCTGACTTTGATACATGGATAATTGACACTGGTGCATCCGATCATATGATTCGGCATCCTTATCTTCTCTCTAATTTTTCCCCTTCCCCTAAAACTGTAATTTCTACAGCTAATGGTGGAACCTCTACCATTGTTGGGCAGGGTTCCATCTCTCTTTCCAATCGGTTACACCTTCACTCTGTGTTAGTTGTTCCCTCCCTTGATTTTAATCTCTTCTCAGTTAGTCAACTAACCTCTGCACTGAATTGTTCTGTGATTTTTTCCCAAATAAATGTATTTTCCAGGACAACCAAACACAGGAGACCCTTGGTTATGGTGTTAAAAAAGGCAAGTTGTACTTCTTGGATGCTCCATCTCGTAGCAGTGACCCCTCTCTTTGTGCGTCTTCTACTTCGGTTGTGGCTTCAGAAAAAAATAATATTTGGTTATGGCATAGGAGATTAGGCCACCTCTCTTTTAGTTATTTGAAAAAATTATTTCCCAATTTCTTTTCTGATGTAAGTGTTAGTGATTTTCATTGTTCCGTTTGTGAATTGGCCAAGAGCCATAGGATTCCTTTTTATCCAAGTTTGAATAAAAGTATTATTCCCTTTCAAGTGATTCACTCTGATGTCTGGGGCCCTGCCAAAGTCCCTTCCTTCTCTAAATCCTTGTATTATGTAACATTCATTGATGAATGTACTCGCATGTGTTGGGTGAGTCTTCTCAAAAATAAAGGACAAGTCTTTTCTGTGTTTAAATTTTTTTTCAACATGGTTCAAAATCAATTTAAGACCACCATTGAAATTCTGCAATCAGATAATGGAATGGAATATATGTCCGGAGACTTTTCTGAATTTCTGTCCTCCCATGGCATCAAACACCTTACCTCTTGCTCCTATACTCCACAGCAAAACGGATTGGCAGAAAGAATGAATCGAACACTTTTGGAAGTAGTTAGAGCTTCCTTGTTTGAGATGAATGTCTCTTCCTCCTATTGGGGGGAGGCTGTAACTTCAGCAGGTTACCTTATTAATAGGACCCCTTCTAGTGTCCTTAATTTTAAAACACCTTACCAAGCCCTTACTTCTCACTTCCCTGTCCCTCATCCCTCTAACCTTGAACCCAGAAATTTTGGCTGCACTACCTATGTCCATATTCCAAAAAATCAGCGATCTAAATTAGATCCTTGTGCATAAAAATGCATTTTTGTTGGTTATTCAGATGTCCAGAAAGGTTATCGCTGCTTTGTCCCTCTTTCTCATAAAATCTATGTCACCTTAGAAGTCACCTTCCAGTAGAATGAACCTTACTACTCAGGGGGAGTCTCTACTTCTCCTTCTCAGGGGGAGAATCCAGCACCAATAAACAGAGAAGAAGAAGTCTGGCTTAGTACTCATGTAATACCTCTCCACTCCAATCCTTCATCAGATGCAGCACAAAATGATGAAGCTGCAGCAACACCAAATACTCCATCAAATGCAACACAAAATGATGAAACCGAATCTGCACCACAACATCATCAACCTTGTTTAACACACATAACCGAGGATCCTTTGGTGGCTGTCCCAGAATCTCAACCTGCAATCCAACCTGAACAAAGCTCAGAGGTAATTCCTATCCCTCCTTCTAATGAAATTCAAACACAGACCAGAAAATCCTCTAGGATTAACAAAGGTATCCCAAAAACCTTCTATGAACCTGATCCCAAAGTAAAAGCAAAATACCCTCTTAGCAACTATGTATCTACCCAACACTTATCTGAATCGTATGCATTAATTGTTAATCAATTATCTAGTGTGTCAATTCCAAATAGTGTACAAGAAGCATTAGATGATCCCAAATGGAAGGAAGCAATGAATGTATAAATGGAAGCACTCCAAAATAACTCAACTTGGGAGTTAACATCTTTACCGAACGGAAAAAAGACAATTGGGTGCAAATGGGTGTTCACTGTAAAATTAAAGGCAGATGGAAGCATAGACCGATACAAAGCAAGACTTGTGGACAAAGGATATACACAGAAGTATGGAATAGACTACCAACAGACGTTTGCTCTGGTAGCTAAGCTTAATACTATAAGGATATTAATTTCTTTAGCAGCTAACAGAGATTTGCCACTGAAACAGTTTGACGTAAAGAATGCATTCTTAAATGATGACCTAGAAGAAGAAGCTTACATGGATGTACCACCAGGAGTGCAACTAACTCAGAATAATGGAGGTCTGGTCTGCAAACTGAAAAAAGCGTTGTACGGACTCAAGCAATCTCCAAGGGCATGGTTTGGACGCTTCTCGTTAGCAATGACAAGATTCAGATACAATCCAAAGTAATTGTGACCATACTCTGTTTTATAAACACAGAAAGGAGAAGATAACTATTTTAATAGTTTATGTAGATGATATGGTGCTAACTGGAGATGACATTGAAGAAATGAAGTCCCTTGAACATCACTTAGCAACAGAGTTTGAAATGAAGGATTTAGGGCTCTTAAAATATTTTCTTGGGATAGAAATTGCAAGATCTCAAAAAGGCATTTTTTTAACCCAAAGAAAGTATACCCTTGATCTTCTGTCAGAAACTGGAATGTTGGCATGTAAACCAGCTGAGAACCCCATTGAAATGAATCATACTCTTGGCATTTACCCGAATCAAGTGGAAGCCGAAATTGGAAGATATCAAAGGCTAGTAGGAAGACTTATTTATCTTTCACATACTCGGCCAGACATTGCTTATGCAGTTGGGATAGTGAGTAGGTTCATGCATTCCCCTAGTGAAGAGCACATGAAAGCTGTATACTGGATTTTGAGGTACTTAAAAGGGACACCTGGAAAAGGTATTCTTTTTTCAAAAACCAGCAAGAAAGGCATTGAAGGGTTCACCGATTCTGATTGGGCTGGAGACAAGACTACTAGACAATCCACCTCAGGCTATTTTACTCTAGTAGAAGACAACTTAGTCACATGGAGAAGTAAAAAACAAAAGGTTGTGGCAAGATCTTTTGCTGAGGCAGAATTTAGAGGTATGGCATATTGTATTTGTGAACTCCTATGGATTAAGAACATTCTGAATGATTTAGGCATCAAGTATGATATTCCTATGAATCTGTATTGTGATAATAAAGCGTCCATTGAAATTGCTCATAATCCGGTTCAGCATGATAGAACAAAACATGTTGAAGTGGATAGACATTTTATAAAAGAGAAATTGGATCATAAGATCATCACAACTCCTTTCATCAGATCTGAAGATCAGCTTGCGGATGTATTAACAAAGGCAGTTTCTGGAAGGGTTCTAAAAGATACAATTGACAAGTTGGGCATGATTGATATCCATGCACCAACTTGAGGGGGAGTGTTAGAATAGGAAGTTTTGAATTTGAAATATTGTTGAAAATGTATTTTTGAATTACTGTTTGTAACAAAAGAGTTTGTTTAGAGAACTGTTAGGATTTTTAGGCTTGAGATTTATTCTGTTATAGATGACTTATGTATAAATACACCTCAATTGAAGAGGAAAAATATGAATGAATAGAAAGTATTTTTGGTATTCAGATTGTTGACAACTTTCCACTATGAAAACTGAGGTACAAAGAATCTTCCAAGATACAGAAGAACATATACAACTCTTCAATAACATCAAAAGGTTACTACAAAGGCCCAAAGACATCAACAAAATGAAAACATCAAAGAAGAATTCAAAAAAGGTCACAAGAGAAACAACCTTTGTTGGTGAAATTTTTACAAATTCCATAGAACTCAAATTGCAAATTCCACCATACACTTTGAAGAACTACGAGGGAGGAATCTAAAAAAATTTCAACTCAATCGCATGTTGTTTGACCCATTTGATGAAAAATGCTCTAATGCTGAAAAAAAAAAAGAGTTGTGGCCCTCTTTCTTCTTCTTCTTCAATTTTGCCAAATATTCACTTTTAATTCTCTCACCTTATTGACAACCCTAGTTAAGGTGAAAATAAAGTTGGGATTGTGTCTCAATAGGAGAGAACCAACCCATCACGTGGTACTTAATTACTCACTCACACTAAGTTATATCAGTTTTATGACAGTATAAGTGATATACTACGAGCTTTCTGTAATATATATATACTATATATTTTTTTTTACATGCAGCAACTGAAGTTTGACTTTGCAAGCATGGCAAAGAAGATTGAGCTTCTTGAACTTTCTAAAAGGTCACTCTTTAGTTAGCTCCATTGCCTTGCCAATAGTTCATTGTATTCAAATATTTTTATCTCTCAGTGTGTGCCGGCACTGGTAGTTTTACATTACAATACCGTATATAGCTGATTTTTTATTTAAGTTGTTGTCTGAAATGAGCTGCACTGCCTACAGTTTTTAGTTAATTATTTGAATTTCTTAGGAAGATGCTGGGACACAACTTGAGTTCATGTTCTTATGATGAACTCCAAGGAATTGAGGACCAGCTTGAGAGAAGTTTGCAAAGCGTCAGGCTGCGAAAGGTAAGTTACAAAAATGCTCTAGTTGCCTTCTAAATTAATGAAGAGAGGACAGAACTGAGAGATTTTAACCTTGTTTATTCAGGATCAACTGTTTAAGGAGCATATCGAACAACAACAAAGCCAGGTATATAAACTCAGCTTCAGTGCAAATTAAATGGAAACGCTTACTAGTGTTATAGAAATCCTCTACGCCTGACACATTTTTCCACTCTAAATTCAGGAGAGAAACTTGCTCAAAGAGAATGCCAAATTAAGTGCAATGGTGAGATTATGATCTTTCCCATGTATATAGTTGATTATCCATGATATTTTATCAGCCAAAAACAAACGAAATAAAAAGATCGATATTAGTTTTCATAACGAGAAAGTTTAGATGTGTTTTGTTAGATACATCATTGGTTGACGCATGGCTTTGACTAACTGAGTGGAAGTGAGTATATATATAAATTTTTTTTTTAGTACATAATAATAAACAAATTTTAGATTGTGGAGCATGTATATCAGAAAATAATAAAACGAAAGCCAAGGGATCAATTAGGCTATAATTGTGGCCAAATGCTGGTTACACTTGATCATTAATGACCAAATTCTCATTCTTGTCTCGCCTTATCTATTGTAGTGAAGGAAGGGATGAATTACGATATAGGGTGTGTGTTTGGTTTTCATAATTGAAAAAATGAAATCTCATCACTTGTTTTATATATATATATATATATATATATATATATATATATATATAAGTTTCTCCTAATTATGAGTACTAACCCCTAACTTAAAAGACACGGAGAATATTCAAATTTATTCCTATATATCAAATCAGATTTGTTTCTAAGATAGTTATATAAGATAGTTTCGTTTTTAATGGTCATGTGGCTTCTAGCTTCTACGTTAAGAGCCCGTTTGGATGAGCTTTTTTTTTCTTTAAAAGTTGTTTTTTTTAAGAAAAAAAAACACTTCTCGAAAAAAGTCTGTTTGGATGTTTGCTTTTAAAATAAGCAGAAGTCATAAAAAAAGCCAAAAATCTACTTTTTTCGGAAGCTAAAAATTTTAGCTTTTAAAAAAAGCAGAAGTCAAAAGCTAAATATTTTTTTTAAAAATCAAATATTTTTTTAAAAATCTAAATAGCCGTAACTTTTATAGAAAATACTTTTAAAATAAGGAAGTGATAAAAAAGACTTTCTTGAAAAGGCAATACAAACGAGCCCTAAGTACCTATTTTTTTCAATCAATTTATTTTATTTCATGTATTATCAAATTTTTTAAAATATTTTCATACCATTATTACTTTAACAATTTACATTTTTTTAAAAATATTTTAAAAGTATATCATCCACTCATCTCACCTAAAAATTTAAAACTTTTGACTGATACAGCAAAAGAACCGAAAAGAAGAAGGAAAACTACCATTATATATGAGTTTTATAAGAATTATGTTATAGGAAAAGTGATTGTGTAATGTTATAGAGATTCGTTTTGCGTGCCATAATTTCTCTTTTTTCTTTTTTTTTCAAAAAGTGTGGGCTCCACAAAATGTTGTGTGTGTAGGAAAGTTTGTTGTGTCATGTTAAATGACAAATGCAAACCCCATTATATATTGAACTAGAGTTTATTCTATTGAAAGTGACTTAATTTCTTACTCTACTCTTTCTTAAAACTTTGAAATAATTATGCATATATTTATTATAATTTTAGATATTTTTTAATCTATATATGTTAGATTCTATCTTTAATTAATTATGTATATCTCTTTTATAATTTTAATTTTTATCTTAAATATTTATTATTTTAATTTATAATTTATACTTTATATCTTACTGGTTGTATTTAGTGAAGGAGTATATTTCTTAATTGTGCTAATTAAATAAGAAATGTACAATTAAATTGATGAAGTATGGTGATAAAAGAGAAAAGGTTAAATAGATGATCGAACAATCTTGTACAATTTTTATTCAGAACCGCATAAGCCAACCTGTTTGGTACAAGCCCAATGTTACAACCCATTTGTACAGTTGAGCTCTGATCAAGTTAAAATTTCTCTTTTCCCGGGTCAGCTAGATAGCAGGACCAAACCCAAGCCCACTTTACTACATCCTCCGTTACTAATTGATAGATAGCATGTAGATTATTTAAATTCGATATGAAAAATGATACACGTTAGAGATTAAAAAAAAAAATACCTAATGAAGAGTTATTTTATGACTTAATATCAGAACTTTAATGATTAGTTGTTTAGAGTTCTACCTCGTTGTCCTTCTTTTTAAATAAAAAAAATGAAAACAAGATAAGTGAAATTGTATACAATTAATGCACTTCAAATGTAAACAAACTATTGCGTGAGTAATGCTTTAGAAATATTATAAAAATATATCTAATAGTTCATATACAGTGATTTGGACACTACTTTTTACTACGTCAGAATCACTTTTCCATGTTTAGTCAGGAGCTTTCTAAGTCATCTTATATAAGAAATGTGGGAATTTGATGATGTGAAAATACTATTTCCTTATCGATTGATTACATTTCTATGGCACAAAAATCAAAATTAGGATTTCCTTATCAGTTTTATTCTTTTTGATTTATCTAGAAACTTAATAGTTCACTGCAAAATAATCAAAAGCATTACGCCGAAGCACATGAATCTTTGCTTGAGGTGTATTTCACCGTATGATATAAGCCATTAATGTATGGCGATGTTATCTATCTATTTGGTCTAGATAGATCGTGTTTTCTACCATCATATGTAAGGAAGTGTAAAGAAACAATTAACCTAAAAGTTTAAGTTGTTAGGTGAATGTCATATTAATAGTTTTATATTATTTATTTTCTTAACATGTCTTTTTATTCAAGAGTCCATTGAGTTTGAAAGGTAGATAATGTACAAGCTCTGTCTATTTATGTTAAGAAATTCTATAATATTTAATTATTTATTAATAACATGGTGCAGTAAAGATTGAACTCATGACTACTTAAACACATAGATTCTGATACTATGTAAAGAATTATTCTAACACAAAAGATCAAGCTATTGATTGTAAGCCATATTAAAAGTTTTATATTATATTTCTCTAATACAAAACTAAAACTTCTCCAAATATATAAAGAACAACATTGGGAAGCTAATAAAGTAGACAACAATTGAAACAAATGGGCTTTGTTCGAAAAAAAGAATAGAATTAAAGGGGTTGCTCTAAAACAAATACGACATTAAGAGTTGGGAAATGATGATGAACAACTCCCAACTTTAGGGAACTCTGCAGTGGAAAAGTAGCGAAAAGGTCGCAGAGGATGAAACCATTCTGATACCATATAAAGAAAAACCAAAAAACATACATTATTATATGAAGGCTGTAACGCCCCAATTTAATAATCAGATTGTTAACTACATGTGGTTATACTATTCGCATCTAACTAAATTAAAGTAGCGAAATACTTAATAAAATTTCTAATTACCCGATGTAATTTTGCAGTATGACTTTTTCTTTTTAATTAATTCCAATGCATTGCTATAACTATAATATATTTCTTATTTCAATAAACTGTACCTGTACAGAATTCCAAATTAAATTCCAAGTGACCATAATCAATGACTAATCACTATCCGAATATGATAATTTATACCAATCTGTATAGAGTCTAACGGACATCATAACCGCTGTAAATCGGGCTATACCAGGGATTAAGTCTCATCGTCTTATCCTGTTCTTGATATACAGAAAAGTCTAACCAATATATATATATATATATATATATATATATATATATATACACACTGACTATGACTCATTGCCAATATAATATCAAATTATTTGACTTGATAATACACACGTAGGCAAACATATGCCTCTCAAAATGATTATCAACTATATACATGCATGATGATATACTTCATACACTAACAAAACATGTCTACATAGACATTCAAAATAGCTAAGTGTCCACTCCTTTAGAGTCCTTTATCCTCACTAAATTGGTCCTTTGCCCTTTGTGAGTTCTCCTGTTGCTGATGTACCAGTAGTTTAAATTACAGCCCCACGACGGGGTGAGAAATGAATCCCAATAAGACTCTGAGTTTATGGAGTAGTCTCCACCCAAGAGTTCACTCTATGCATGAAAGATCAGATATAAAACATATAAAACAACATGTAATTTTATTAGTATATCCTGCTAATTATATATCACTAACTATATCTCACTGACTGTATATCACCGACAATATCTCACTGACTTGTTTCGAAAGCCTTTATACTCCCCTATATCCCCCTGCTTTATATTACGAAATATTTATACTTCCCTGATTAATGATAATATGGAAGATTTATACTTCCCTTCTCATATATAATTTAATATTAATATATTATATAGCTAATTAGGAACATATTTTTACGTCTTTATTACTCGATCACCTTTCTACGTCTTGATTACTTGATAATCTTAATACTACGGAAGATTTATACTTCTGCTATCCCTCTTTGTACTTGTCTACGCGCATTATATCATAACACAATATCAATGTATATAAATTAAACACATCATCAATGTATCTGTGTATATAAATGCACATGTATGCATCTATATTGAATATCTCCCTGTCAAACATATATACAATTTAACCATCATCTTTAATGGACTTTGGTGGAACTACAAAGACGGAGAAAAACTCCTAACCAAGAGCTTACCTGTCAGTGCTTTTATATCACGATTACTTGGTATACAAGTAATTTTTACAAAATTTACAGAATCCTGACTTGGAATCACCGTATTACCTGCTACACATTACAATATTTGTTCACTAACTACACTTGATAATTTCATGCCATACCACAAGTCAAACCTAAATACCCACAACTTGACCTATATTTACATAATATAAAACCTACTTAATCATATTACCAATTAAAGGTTCATCATACTAATTTTACTTGATACATCCCTCAAATTCATTTCTAAGTTCCATCATTAAATAACTTGATTTTTAACCCAATAAACCACTAAGTGGCCGAAATATGTCCCATTAATTCATATTTTTCAAGCTTAATGCTTGTAACTTTGAGTGTCATTACACTTTAATACAAACCAATAACACCAAACACTAATTAATTATACAAAACAGTCCATAAAGCTGAATTTTTAAGCATGAACAGTCTGCACTATAAAATACACGTAAAATCCATTTTAAATCCAATTGCTATGAATTTTTTATATTTTAAACTAGACATGTATGCCTTTGATTTTAAACAAACTTCACTCAATTTGGAGTTCTACAACTCCATATATAAACTTTTGAAAACAGGGCCAGATTTGAGGTCTATAGGGTTTCACTAATTTTTTAAACTTCCAATGATTCAAACTTAATCCAATCAACTCCATACTCAACAAATACCATGAATATACATCAAAACACAACATATACACATGATTTAACATCATACATAACAGTCCCCTTTTCATGAAAACCTAAGTTGACAACATAAAATCCAACCATTAGA